TTTTGAGAGAGAGAGAGAGAGAGAGAGAGAGAGAGAGAGAGAGAGAGAGAGAGAGAGAGAGAGAGAGAGAGAGAGAGAGAAATCAATGTCTGACAGATAGGGCTGAAGCAGCCCATGTCTTCTATGATTTCAACTGTGTCGACTAGGTGTTTGTGAGGGGGGCGTTTGAAATTATTTTCTAGTCTCTCGATTTGATCAATGCGCATTTTGAATTGAACTCACAAAGAAGAACGTAGGTTTTCAACAAACCGTCACAAAGCGGTTCATGTGTACTAAGCTTAGAAAACAATTTTTATTAGGAGAGAGAGAGAGAAAAAAAATGTTTAATTATATTCTGTTTACATGTGTACCTACTTTATGTTGTTGTTTTTTCTTTATTTCACCATTTTGAATTTGAATTTCAACGAAAAAAAAGGTACCGGTACATGCAACTGTTACCACTATTTACTATTCAGAAACTGCAATTAAGAAAGAAAGATTCAAAACGTTAGGCTAAGTACATGTGAAAGAACAGCTGGTCTATGTGTTACATGTACATGAAACAGGAGTAGAATGTCCCCCACCGTGTACACACCATGTCCTTGTGGTAGTCAGCCATGCACGGCGAGACTAAATATGAGCTAAGTACATTATCTGGCCCACTGCGGAGGAACCATTGCTTTGATCTTCGTTCTTTGATCTTTCCTGCTGCAATGGCGCAGTCACAAAAAATAAAAACTGCTTGAATTAATTGACACACGATATCATAATGGATATTATACTAATCAGTCTGACGCTTAACTTGGTGAGCCAAATGGCTCGGACATCGAACGGTATTTGTGAGGCAGCGTGGTGAAATCAGGCTCTCGTCAAAATAATCAAAGTGAAGAAACTTGCTTTTTTCGCAGGTTTGTGAATTTTTATTAAATTTTTCTTTTTTTTGGCTCAACGTCTTTCATGTATTAAAGAACGTATATTTGTGTGGATTTTTCTGAAAAACGTGGATTAAAGGCACAAAAAATGTAAATTTTCAGTTAACACGGACTCTTAAGTTTAGGAAATAACTATTCTTTGGCGACCATTTTCTCACTAATTTTACCTCTGAAAACAGGTGACCCCCACCTTCTTCATTCGCAAATATCTCGACTTGTATTCAAGATAAAAGGAATTTTTTCCCCTTCCAAATAAAGACAAGTGAACAAGCTTTAAGATGGTATCAATAACTCTAAATGCCCCAAAATTGACGAGAGCCTGATTCCACCACGCTGCCTCACATTTTACAAATATGATAACTCTGAAACATAAACTTAACAT